CTGGTCAGTATCTGAGCAGTATATTTACCCGTAAATATACTCAATTATAACTTAAAATATACCATTACATGTTCCACAGCGTGTCTTATGCTTTCGTGACCATCTGAAACAATGCATAGACCAACCCTCTCACCAATAACAACTTGCAATTTTGTAAAAAACCACATGTATGAGTGGTTATTCTCCGAATCAACAACACTAAATGCAAGCGGTAAAATGTGAGAATTTGCATCTTGACAACATGTTGTTACCAAAAGTCCCCCGTATGCCGAAGTAAAAAATGTGCCATCGACAATAACAATTGGCCGACAATGGGCCCATCCTTTAATAGATGCTCCAAGTGACATGAAAATATACAAGAAATTCTTCTCCAGAGTGGTGCTCGCCCTAAAAATGCTACCCGGATTTGATGCACATACATTCAAAAGATACTGATGAACATAACTGTAAGATTCATCAATTTTTCCACGTACTACATCAATAGCTTCCATTTTGACCTCCACGCTTTTTGGTACGTCAAGTTTATCCCAAAACGATTTTGCATGTCATCAACGATATCAAGGAGATTATATGCAGTCTTCGTGCTCGTGAATTTCGTCTTGATAAAATCGCTAACAACGGTTGACGTAGTTTGTCTTTGGTTACTTGTTCGAACATCAAAAGAACATACATGTTCAGTCCCGATAGCCCCTATCTTAAAAGTGTTTGACTTACCCAAGCGTGATGCTCTCACAAACCATGAACAATCGTTCGATACACACTTTACACTGTATTGTTTGGAGCACGACTTCTCCACCTTGAATTGATACTGATGCTTGATAGCATGCATGGTCAACAGTTTCTGAAGCTCTTTTATATCCTTTAGCAAACGACCAACAACAATACCATAGCCTACATTTTCTTCTACTTTCAACCCCATCTTACTATCAGGGTTTATGTTGAGTATATTTTCGGAATATGCGACATCTTCTACCATCTCTGCAGCAACATTTTTTGCGAAAGACAAGAAATTAAACGAGTCATTTGCGGCATCAGGATACCTGTCAAGATCCGGATAACTCAAAGGTGCAACATTTGACTCGTAATTCATAGAAGACGTATTCCGTTCATTATCCAACGATTTTCCAGCAACACTATGAGCCTTCACCTCCAAGCAAATAGAAAACTTCGTGTAGTCATCGTCTTTGGAATTCAAGAAAAAGTAGAACCCAAGGCTTATGTCGTCTTTTATGGTTATTGGTGGACTCACTTCCTTCAGTTTGTATTTCAGTTCAACGATA